ACACCAGGGCCACCCCCAGGCACTGCAGCTTAGTGGCAGCTAGCCAAGCAGCTAGCCAGGCACTAGGCTACCAGGGCCAGTTTGGAGGCACTGTAGGGGCTTCTGGGTCTGCAGTGAGCTGCTGTGGTGGGCAGCTGCTGGGCTCTGAGCCTGCTGGCACTTCTGAGCCAATCCAGGTAGCTTGCTGCCCTGCCAGCTACCAGCTGTGCATGCTGGGCCGGGCTGTGCTTTCTGACAGGGCTCAGCCTCCCTGTCACCAAGCTGCATCGGCTGGGGTGGCCCTGCCCCCATGGCTTGGCTGGGCCAGGTTGGGCCAGGCAGTGCCACACAGAGACCCCCTCCCTGCCCTGTGGTGGTGGGGGAAAGGGAGGAGGGGGAAAATTTACTCTTTGGGGCCAGGCAGTGCTGTGCACTGAGATTACTCCTGGCTGTCAGACAGCCGCTGGGGCAGGCAGAGCTCTCCCCTTCTCCTCCTTGGCCTGCCACAGTGGTCTGGCCATGCTTCCTCTGCCCCTACCTTCTGAACCCTGTGGGCTAAGGTTGGGGTTTAAACCCCTCCTCAGTCTTACTCAGTCCTGTCGGGGCCAGGCCACGGTCCGCCTCCTCAGTTCAGCTTCCCTGTGGAAGGGAAGGACTGATCTAGCACCCCTGGGCTTCTGGCCTGAGCCACTGCAGGCATGTGCTTGCATTTCTAGAATGAAAAGAGAACATCTATCCAACTGCAAACCAGTTCAATCTCTGCAAGTTACACTAACCTGGAAAGATTGAACCAATTCAGGTGTGGACTTTTTGAATGTCCTTATCCCTAGTGGCTGTGTGTCTGACACGAGTACAAGACAGAAAGTCTTTGGGTGGGCAGAATGCAGCATATGTGCTAGTTAGCATTTACATGTGGGGTCCCAGTGCTGTAGCTGACACAGTAGCCTAAGCCATTTTCTTCTGTTCCCAAAATAATAAATAGAGCTCCTGCTACTGAGAGTGAAAAACACTCCTTCTTTTTACTTATTCCCTAGTGTAGCCATATTGACAAAGACCAAGATCTACCCCTTAATGTTATATTGGTTAATGATACAGAGTGATTTGATGTAACTCCTACATACAAGGCAATCAAACTAGTTGTAAAAAGTGGCTGAAATGTCACTGCTTTCTACAAACCAAACATGAATTGTTAAAAAGTTTGGGATTGGCTTAGTACAGGAGCAGCCCTTCCCCCGACCCCAGCCCAAGATCACAATCACTCTTTAGAAGGTCCCCACCCAACTCCTTCCTATCTCCTTGGCAGTTCCATTCGCTTGGCCTGCTCTAGAGTCTCTCCAGTTCTTCATCTGTCTCCATACATTGTCATGATGACCCATAACCTCCCTCAGATACCTGCCAAATTTGCTAGCTAGTCCACTGGTGTCAGGGACTTGAACCCTAACTTCCCAGGTCCGTTGTCTGACCGCAAGAGACAGGCAAC